AACTGAATGGTTATAAAACACTCATTGAGAAATTAAATAAAAACAGAGGGATTTAGCGAAAAGTTTCCTTGATGAAGTCATTCTCATAGCTGTACAATCATAAGAATATACATTCTTCTCCAATGATAATCAATAATATCCAGGGTTGATGATAACAATAATTTATCAGATATAGAAACGGAGGAAAAATAGATGGAATGATAAGGATGTTATTCGTATTCAAAAGTTGAATATGTAGTTAAAAAGATTTTGATTATGAATATAAAATATCGAAGAATTTAGATAAAAATCACTTATCACATAAATGAGTTATATGCTGCGACAACTTTTGAAGTTGAAATGTAATCAGCAAGAAAATGGAAATAGACGTAAGTCAATTAGTTATAAGAAGTCAGTGGATTAAGAGAGGATTAGTGACGACCTTTGAAACTTAGAGGTAATGGCAATGGAAAGTTGAATGAACTTCTTTTGTATACATAATTCTGGCTTTGCAGAATGTTCAATAGAAGTTTCAGCAGTGCAAAAACCACAAAAGTGTACTGTACGCAGTAGATTTTTGTTCACTGTGTAGACAACATGGAATGAGGAGTCAATTCTGGTCGAAAGACTTAAGTTTATAGTGTTCGGTTATTTAGTTGATTAAAATCACGAACGGATCAAGTTTGAGCAACAGTCGAAAATCTGAAAGTAGTAGACAGCCATTTCACCCTAGTACGCTATACCTCAGCAGTACCCATCTATGACCCTGAGTGCGGGAATCGAACCCAGGACCTTCAGTCTTGCGCATGAACACTTAACCTCTTAACCACTGAACTGGGATCCAATTTAAAGCAGTGATCGGTGGGGTTCAACCGTGTCAAGTGTGAGGAAGGCACACATCCAAGACAATGAGAGATGGTTGTTCAAAATAATGAATCAATTAAAGTTAGGCATTTACACTATCGATACATTAGTAAGTTTCGTATACCGTCTTTCTAATTAATGCAAAGCGACTCATTATTATAAAAATTCATATTTATAAGTCGTTTCCACAATTTACTAGTGAGTTAGTCATTTCCGTTTACAAAAAAGACTTGTAAATATCGAAAATAAGTCACAAAATACTAATTCTGTAACATTCACTTGACGACTGGTTGGAATGTTCCCGTTACCTATTCGATCAACTATGACATTTAAATATATATTAAGGGTGCAACTAAAATTATATATCTAATAACTGAATATATTTACCTAGCTTTTGTTCACTATATGTTAGTTGCTCATAATGAAGTTCTAGCTTCATAGTTCAGAGACTGAATTTATATGCATTTTAACTCGTGTTTACCAGTAACATAAAATTTAGTAACTAATTATGTGGTAGATAATCTTGTACGAAATTCAGAATTTTGATTATCAATATAACTGTGGATATATTTTTAAACAGGTTATTGGAGTTGTTGGTCAGAATGGAGTAAATGTTCAAAAACTGAACCTTGTGCTCGACCAAGAGGAGTACAACGTCGATTTAGAACATGCATTAATGAATTGAATTCAGCTGTCAGCAAAATGACACAGATACATAACACAAGCTTGTGTTATGGTGGGTTTGAAAACAGTGTACAAACAGTTCCATGTGAACTGGAAATTAGTGAAACAAATTGCTTACAACAACGGCTAAATAAAGTCAGATATCGGAAGAGATCAGTCGAAGTTGGACAACTTGATACAGGAAAACCTTGTAAGCAAAAAACTGTTTTTTTCGATATATATATATATATGATGTTAATCATTGAATTTCAACACATTGCTTATGATCGAGTCTGAATGTCATTTGTTAGATTTGACATATTTATTGCCAGATTGAAAATAAAATCAAACAACTGAGTTCTCTGGTCAATATTCAGTTGTTGAACAACCAATATTTGCGGTGACGAAAACCACATTGAAATAATGTGTATTATCTTACCACTCGTACTATTTCTCTCTAATTTTAGTGGATTCGCTGGAATGGGCTATTTGGTCAGAATGTATAACTGTAGAGCATGTGTCGTATCCTATACGAATGAGAACAAGAAAAAGCTGTGAAAACTGTGAGTGGATTCAGTTTGAACGCTGTGATACTAAGAAGCTTGTTGCACCTCAAGAAGGTAAATTTATGCAGAATGTTATTGCTATCAGTGCATTTTAACTAGTATTGTTCTTGGTAATTGTGCTGTTTGTTAATCAACTAAATAGATCGTTTCATTTACTCATAATTTGAACTATGAGGAGTTAATTAAAAGCGATTAGATACATAACTTTACCCTTCCCTTTTTTACCAAACTTCTCTTGTTATAACTGTGCTGTACTTTTAGATGTCAATATTTCTAAATTAGTGTTTAAACGACAGTGAATTCATGTTGTCTGTCGTAGTCGAAACACTTGCATAGTTAACATAAAAAGTAATTTATTTATAGAATCTTATATTAAGAGAATAAGATACATTCGTTTGACCTAGAAGTTATAAAATTTAGATATTTCATTTGTATCGATGTTTGACAAGGTATTAGCTAATGTTGATCCAGTTGGCTTTAAAACACTTGCACATTATATCAGCCTGAATGTATAATTTATGCCTGTAAGACTAAAAGTGTGAAAAGCAAAATCAAATAAATCCACACATTTCAGTATCGACAACTGATCAATTTCACAAGGGATTAGATTTCTATATCGTACTATATACAACACTCTTGATATAAATACTGTACAAACAGTCATTAGTTCTCTACATAATTATCCGTGGACGTAAACACATCAACATTTCGTAGGCTTCTACATAAAATGTGCTATCTGAATCTAAATTAAGAATCTTTATGGTTATTATTTAGGATTCTTCCAAGAAATCACACTCAACTATGTTAGAATGACTAGGTGGAATATGGCTATCCAATTGTTAGGCTGTGATCAGAATGATTAATAAAAATACAAAATGGCGAGAAATAAAAAACATCTATAAAGATAATTGATGTTTCCCAGTTTAAACGTTGTCTTTTTTTAATTATTTAACTAGTATTGGGAGATAAATATCAGTCCTATAAGGAAACAATTTTAAATGAGGATTCAACGGGACGATACGATATGTTACATGCAATAATTGTTACACTGGTAGCATTTACAACTGGTTTCGCTATTGTTATAATTCCATTTATTACATGTACAATGAGAGATCGTAAAAGTGCTCAAGGTAAACATGAATATCAACAGTCCACACCATTTTCAACATCTATATGGCGTAAAATAACAAATGAACGTTTATCCAATAAAAAGCGATCAAATTTATTACCATATGAATGGTTTTTAGATAGTGATAATACCAATGACAACCAATTAACTTTTAAGAGTAACAGTGATAGTAAATTAGTAAAAAGAATTCTTGAAGATAAAAATAATGGAAGGAAAAAGAAAAAGCTAGACATTCATGAGAAGAATGTTGGTGGTTTTTCCAATTCCTCATTGTTAATAAACTCTGATAAAGAATATAACAGAAATCAAGACTACAATGATCGATGTGATCAAATTCAGCAGAAATATCACGCAACAGCTTCTCGTAAAGCAGCACATAATACTACATCTTCGGTACAACGTCCAGAAGTAGCTGTGTACAATCTTGATACAAGTAAAAATAGAACAGTTGTTGAAATGAAACTATGTAATGATCAAAATACAGCTCCAGATTATGATGACGTCAGTAATAATGATGATGTATTACTACAAAGTGTACAATCAATAGCAAACAAGATTACAACGACGACAACAACAAAACAAAGACCTATGTCGGATGTCCGATGTGTAGACCCAAAATCAGAAACTAGATTATCACAAGTAAAACTTGTCAGTGTTTTGATATCGTCTTCACCACCATCAGAACAAGTATGGTCCGACATATCAGTGAATAATCCAATAATTGGTAATGTTACAATTAATGACACAACGAAAAATGGCATTCCAGAGGATAAAAATGGTTTCAATGAAGTATATATGACACCCACTGAGAATTGTAGATATGATAATGAGATAAGCTTGATGGAACTAGATGAGACAACATGTACTAAAAGTACCATTCCAAACAATTAGCTAATACACTTTACAGCTGCTTCATGATAATTATGAATAAATTATTATTTTAAGTATGTTATTTTAAATAATCATATTAAATATGAAAATTCAAATGTTAACCAGTTTTTTTTCCAACTACACCTCCTTACCATCCGGCTTATTAATTGTTTTTAATTTAAATTTAGTTATATGCAATGTAATTTGTACGAAAAGAACAGAATTATCATGATATAAAGAATGTGAATTAGTAATAATAAGGATACATAACTAGATTCGATTTTTATGACTCTAGTTACCTTAGCAGCGATAAATAAACTAATGGTGGTGAAGTTTAGAATTCGCAGCTTCCCCAACTAGTGATATACGAAATTTCTACTTCACTTAAGCATCTAATAATACACCGAAATTTACGAGTTGTGGGGAAGTGGGAACTAGATGATGAAATAATCTTATTATATACACATAGATACGCAAATGGAATAAACCATCATGCAGAACTAGGATGATTATGATAGTGAAATAGCAAGTGTTTACAACAACGGTAATAATGGTGATCGTATTGAAACCAACCACGCCTGTAGCTCCTCTAGAGTTGCACCACGTGACAAGCCCTAACTTGGAATGTTAAAGGGAAGCGGGAAAGAGGAAGGTCAATCAACATATTACGTCGGGAAATAGAAGCAGATATGAAAAGGGTTTCCCAGGACAGGGTTGGATGGAGAATGCTGGTGGGCGGCCTATGCTCCTCCATGGGTGGTAACAAGCGTAAGTAAATACTGAGATCACATAAATAGATAAACGAAGTGGAGAGATTAGGTAGCAATCCAGTAAAAATTATCAATCATTGTCAGGACAACAGACGATTGATGATAAATGACGACCATCTGGTTACTTCGACTTATCTTACGGAGTTGGGGTTTAACTGATCACAAATAAAGGATGTTTAAGACATTAAAAGTGAGAGGAGTTTATAATCATTCTTCATAAGTGAATCTTAGAGATTCAGAGACATTTACACAAATGCAACTTCATAGTATCAAAACTTTATGAGATACTGAACGAAATAAAAAAGACGGTGGGGTGCAACAAAGATTTGGGAAACAAAAGACAAACGAATGTACGATATTATATAATATTTGTATACTGATAAACATAGTGCTTAATTGTTGGATTGTTTTAGAAATTGAAAAATATTTTCCAACAATACGTATATATTCATTAAACAGTATTACGTATTTACAATTTTGAAAGTAAGAATAAAATATTACTAAAATACACTCAGTAGGAAAGAACGAGGCAAATATTTAGAAAAGCTATATGCTGTTGTTTGTAATGAGCGCATTGGTGAAGGCAAGTACGGACATTTTGTTTGTTGGTGCTTTGGGTTAGCGCAATAGTCAACAATATTAGAGAGACTATTAGCAACTTCATTATGCAAACAAAACTAGAGGGAAATAAGTCAGATTTTATAGTTAATTTAAAAACCAGACCATATAGTTGCAATAAATCACCCTATATTCGATGTTAAATTGTCAGCAAAATGAATTATACTCAATAATGAGGAGCTGTTTTTAAGGGTATTCAAACAACTGGAAATTTCTAAAGGACTCTTGATTTATCTGTAGTTATCTTAAACACATGGAAAAGACAGAACACTTTTGACAAATGAGTTGATAAAGATAAGTTAATCATTTGACATGATGATATAAAACGATTGACTGAAATATATTCTATCAAGGAAAGCATTTTACACTGAGCATATAGAAAAATACGAAGTCAAAACAGTACCAAGTTTGCATTAAAAATAAATATGTTATCTAAAATTAAGTTGAGCTAAAGGCGTTTAATTAAAACAGATGTACGACCACATATACTGGAACTAGAATGTTCCGGTGATAAGTTGTCCGGTATATATGAGTTAATGTCATTGCTATTTTCACTTAAACTTGAAAATTCATTCCCATTGACGACAATTTCAGCATAGCTACCGAAGGCCTCTCCTCTTGATACATATCCAGGATTGATGCACAGCACGCCATCTACATTCTAAAAATTAATTTAAAAAATGTGTCAACAGGGTGTAGGGAATGGAAAAAACCAAACCTAAATGAATAAGTCACCAAGATTATATATTATGAGAATACCGAAGAAAAAACCGACTTCGTTTCCTTACTATTAAAATTAATAAATTAAAACCCTTCAGAGACAGCTTAGTTTGTTACAATGTACAAGACTCATCGGTTAGATGAAATAAACGTGTACAGAATTTCATATATACTTTTGGTGTGATTTTATTTTGACCATTTTCTATGTAACTGCCGTCAGATTTCGTATGAATCTAAGATAAGATGTTGCGAAACGGCAAGTAACTAATGGTTTTACCACAAATTACTAATTTTCAAGTTATTAAAAATTCCACTACACTTGGTATCATTCCAATGATCCTTGATTCCGAAAATATCATTTAACCAGTCTATGGACGATTGTGTTGAGAAGTGTACCTACAGCCAAATATCACGAAGCCGCTTCAAAATCACTTAAGTGATGGGAACGGGTAGCTGAATGCTTTAATGCTTGAAGGAAACTTTAGGCAAAAGAAGATAAATTGATGGTTACTTCCACTTTGTTTACAACTTAACCATCAAACTTGAAAACTGCCAGAAATAGCGATGATGAAATAAACACAAAAACTGCGATCGTACCTTTACAAATTGACGCAATTTAGATGGTAAAATCAAACAGTGTGGCGTGACCGAAAACTGTGCATACTGACTCCATAGAGGGTAATCAAGTGGTAAACCATCGTCAGGGGGATGTACAGGGTAAAACGACGATGAGGCAAGAATATGCCGACATAAACGAGTAATTCTATCACTGCCTGAACAACTATGAAATTGCAAGAAAAAAATGAATAGAAATTTCATTTAGTGTATCAGTTGCAATACATTTCTTAAAACGATGAAGTAATTTTAGAACTAACAAGATAGTAAACACTATTAGAATAGACACCAATGAATGAAAATTTTAAAAATATTTTCTCTAATTTGTTATGTTTTACCTGATAAAAATGTTTAGTTAGTGTACATCATCAAACTTAATTATGACTAATTTCAACCAGACAGACTGAAACATTGTATAATTAGATAACATAATACTCAGCTTTCAGTTGCATTTATTATGAAGAACCTAAAATCAAATATAGAGTTTGATTAAGCTCTTGTGAACGATCGCGACTACCGTAATTTCTAATTATAAACGGTCGAGGTGACTTTTAGTACGAATGTAATCCTATGTGACATCAATAAGTTGAGCAAGAGACCTACAGTGCCTCGACGATTATCCCCAATGAGATGGAGCACAGGAAGTCAGAAGTTTAGGAAATAGATTGATAGTCAACGAAGTCAAAACTATGGAACAACAACCGACAATGCCCTTAAGTGACGACAGAATTAGAAAACTTAAATCGAAACAATCAATCACACAAGACCAATGTCATTGCGAAAATGTGAATCAGAAAAATGTAAACGCAATTTCTCTTAGAAGACAAAACTAACATTTATTAGTATAAATAAATAAAAAATCTAAGGTTTTCATGACAAATTTCGATAGGAACCATCTAACAAACAGCGCCAACAGATTGATATGATAAAAAGTATATAATGCGGTATTTGTCTATATGAAGGATAGTAAATATACTTTAAAATGTCAAGGTATTTACGTAATATGAATCTACTACTACTAAGTCCAAACACTACTAATCTCTTACAAAAATTTTATGTTGCTTTAAAACAGACAGAACAAACAAAACTATCTGACTACTCTTTTAACAAGTGGCATAGACTGGTAAACCTTTAGTAGGTATAACCACAAACGCTGGTTCGAGCTCTACAGTAAAGCATAGACTTGGAGGTTATGGTCCATTCAACAAAATTGACATATTGAGATCACTATTTAATCAATATTAGACCACTGTTGAAAACCTGGAAGCACTGGATGGTCGTTTCGTTCTAGTATGAGACCCCTCAAGAGCGCGAGCCCACGGTCCCGCACGTGGAACTCAAACTTATTGTCCTGTGGCATGTCAAATATCACGTGACAAAATCGTCGATCAGAACACCGAATTATATGATCTCATCTTTGTGCTAAACCAATGATGTGTTAACCAGCACGACCGGCTTTGAGTCAGATCTGAGTAATTTCTCGCCTAACCCACGCCATTCAGTTCACAACACGAGAACCAACCTCCACTGTATGAACCGTATATTTCAGACATACGTAGCTTACATACAAGCAAACCAGACTGCATCACACTATAAAATGAAAAATAACAATTACATAAGATCAAGCCAAAAGTGGTTAAGTCTGTGCCCCCAAATGCCCTGGTACATCTGTGGAACACTGTAACTGATTATCCTTTCTTGGATTTATGCTTTATAAAAAACGTTCACATTGAAACTTTGTACAATTACAAAATAACTAAAAACTAAGCAATAATTTGTACGGTGGTTAAATGTTATAGACACACTGTAACAAATACAGTATAAATGATTCGAAGAAATAAACTTTATACGAGAAACAAGGGTTACCCAGCACTGATTTCTTCACAACTAAGATCTTTAAGTACATCAACCGAAGTTAGACCAAAAACATATTCCCCAATTTGGAAAAGACATGGATCAGGAGCGAAATGAACTTTTTCGTATGATGATAACTAGAAACAATAAATTATATTGAATATGAAAAAAGAACTATACTAAATAATCAAGGAGTATTTTATTTAGACTAATGGAATGCTTATAATATTATTCCCATTAATGAGAATAGTTACCTTAATAATTATAATTTATGATAGAAATACATAACATCATTATTTCTAAGCTAACAGCTATTTTATAGAGTAAATTAGACAATATTATATGTTTTTGAAATAAGCAAAATATAGACTGTATTGACAAAAATACAGAACAACGAACATGGAAATAAATAGACCACAGTCAAACAGATCCAGTTTCAAATAGCAATGTACAGGATGATAAAGATCGCTAACTGATGTAAAAATTAAAGCATTCAAATATACTCTTCCATTCATATTAGGAAGTTAGACAAAATTAAAACAATTGAAAAATTTTGGACTAAAAATAAAATGGAGGAGTTTAAAACTATTATTTTTCCGTTCTACAACTTTATCATTTAGTAGGTGATGTGTGGGCGAGAATGACAATGATTGTTTGTTTTGCTGAGTCAGACATTAAATAAGATGACAGGTGTTATATGTGTTATATATATTCCCATATCCTGATTATTATTGACTGACTGTTCCTTGTTGTTGGATTGTGTCGGATTTTGATGTGGAAATGTATTGACGTTCTAGTCAGGCTAATCTCGTGTTCTTGATCTGAGTTGTGTTGAAATCCTGTAAGATAGACACTGAATGGGAAATCTAGTGTAGATATTCGTCTAAGGTAAATTAACGTCCCACATACGTGTAAAAAGTGAAAGTGTAGTGAACAAAACACTGGTTGGGGACAATCGAATGTATTTAAGCAAAAATTACAGACTATCTCAGTAAATTCTGATAACCAAACAATGAACAGTCAATTTGCAAATTAACAACCAATTGTTTCAATCTTCTCTGTTTCTTCTCTAATTTCATTGCTCATGCATTTTCCAAACGATTGCGCTTCATTTCAGCTCTTTGCTCATCGGTCTTCTGCCAGAATACATTCTATGTCTGACCCACACCATATACTACTTATATGGATATAAGTAGACCACACCACACTCGTCCCCCCTTTAAAGCATTCGACCATGCGGTGGTTCTGCTCGCCACGCCACTATCTTCTTTCACTGCAGTCTGTGCCAAACTCTCCGTCAGAATGTCGAGTCTGCGGCGCGCTGACCTCCATAGCTCCGCCGACCTGCCGGGGCACCAACATCCGCATCCACCCGGCACCTGGGACGTTCAACACCCGTACTCCACCGGCCTGCTGAGCCATCTACATCCGATGTCCGCACAGCAGCCGCACGTCCCACTGCTACTCTCCGTCGACAGCACCCGCTACAGCCAACGCCGCCCCGCCAGAACACTCCACTCGACGCCACCTCTCCGCACCAGACTGCCACAACTAGCACCTCAACTCCAGACCCGCAGCGGCGTCCGCAGGACAGCACCCTTCCTCCTCCTGGATGGCAGCGACACCAAATGTAGTGAACAGAACACTGGTTGGGGACAATCGAATGTATTTAAGCAAAAATTACAGACTATCTCAGTAAATTCTGATAACCAAACAATGAACAGTCAATTTGCAAATTAACAACCAATTGTTTCAATCTTCTCTGTTTCTTCTCTAATTTCATTGCTCATGCATTTTCCAAACGATTGCGCTTCATTTCAGCTCTTTGCTCATCGGTCTTCTGCCAGAATACATTCTATGTCTGACCCACACCATATACTACTTATATGGATATAAGTAGACCACACCACAAAAGGACTGTTATAACAAGAAACCCTAGCGTTATAACTAGTATCCTACTTTTATAACAGTAGGTTTCACATATTTTAATAATTATCTAGTTTATCGCGACCAATTTTTAGTAGTTTGGGGCTTCTTCACATCTGTCAAAAAATTTATCTAGCGTTATGTTAAATTAGTCGATAAAGTTCACATTATAGCATAAATACCTAAATAACAAGTAGATTAAAACAAATAATGTTAGATACTAAATCATAAAAATAAACACATTTACAGTACTGACCAGATGTGGTGTTTTTTCTATCCACGACTTGTCGATAGGTGGAGTTGGATACACTGGATCATGATGTAATTCCCTCCAGGAGGAAATAATTATCAACCTTACAGATAAATGACTGCACCATTCACTGACACTATTCACTCTAGATTGGAATAATTCTTCGTAAGTAGTTTCAGAATAAGACTAATAGTGGTTTGGAATATAAATATAACGATTAGTAGGAAAAATATATTCCACTAAATATTCAAGCATCATTTATTCCAATTTAAAAAAAATAAAAATTTTAATAGAGAAAACTCTTACGACAATCGAGATAGGAATTTTACACAGTTTGCATAATTTGATCATGATAACGTCCTAAACAATCACACGAGCCGTTTTTAAAGCGTACGCTTTACAATAATAGGTTTAGTTTTACCAAATATCTACTAGAATTTACAGTTGTTCAGAAAACGTTCAATGAAACATGCAACGATAAATAGAATTTAAGTTTAAGCTATTATCCCTGAAACGACTTAAAAACAATACGTGACGGAGGTACTTAATGGATCCTATTTATTTTTGAGTACGCTGCAGAAGATTAGATAGCCAAACAGTATACAGCTTTACGGAAGTAAAGAAACGAAACAGCACAGCCACAAATATACCAGGTAAGCAAGAAGGTGTAGTCTTAATGCACAAAATAGATTGCTTTAACAAACTGCATACGATTTAAAGTGCCTTGGCTTAGTTTCAAAAACTTGGCGACAATGAGATAAATGCAATTGGAAAAAAACCGCCAACTGACTAGCCCAGAGAACTACAATGGAAAGGAATAATTTTACTGGTCATTTGTGATTTACACGAATAATACACCTCTGAATTAATACTTGAATATATATTCGAGTTAATGGTTTGCACTAACCTCATTTTCATGATCTACAGCGATATATTCATGAGAAAAATATTTTAATAATCAGTATGAGAGATAAGTACAAATATTTTGTCAAAATTAGCCAGTTTTATACACTGGAAACAATCAAAACTTTTATTCATATGGCTTATATTACATGGTGTAATAAAGAAATTGGTATCACGGACCGACCTAGGTTATACATCCATTGAAAACCAGGAAGCACTAGACAGATGTCTCGTCCTATCCTCAGCGGTGTGTATCCACAACCCTATCGATGATTGAGCCTAGAAACTTCGGTTCAGCGGCAAACACCTATTCTGCTCAAACATTCTCTTTTTTTCAAGATAATCATATCGATCACTCAAATTTGCTTGTATAGCTAAACATGGTCAAATATTTCTATTTGATTCTTGATAACAAAGATTAGGATAAATGAAATTGACTTGAAAATCTTTTCATAAATTATATATATATATATATATATATGGATTCAGAACGAATCTCTCATGAATTGATCAGTTCGATATAAAAAACAATTAGGAGAGGATGACGTGAATTTAAAATGCTGATGATACAATAATTTAAAACAGCTATCATCATAGACTGACTTGACAGTACAAAATAAACTCGCTTGATACTTATTAAGTTCTTATTCACTGCCTTATGATCCATATAATTAAATATATACTAATTTTAGGTTATTATAATGATAGTATCCTAGTTACTTTCACAGAACAATATAAAAAATCTCCAAAAGTAGTACTTATAATGTACCTGAATACCAGGATGTTCTGAATCGACAAACGGTCCAAGAAGGATGAGAACATGGGGTTTAGATTGTTTGACGCAACGCAATAAATTAAAAAGGCCTGTAGGATCATGTGAATTTGAGAGAGTATAAGGACCACAGGCCACCATAATATGCAGGTTCCCAGCTATAAAAGTAAGATTATCGAATGTGGAAATCATGAGGTTGAAATGTACAATAAAGTGAAGTTATAGTTAGTTAGATTACAGTTATTATGACCGAAACAAGTGTGACATAATTATCAAGGTCGTGTGTTGACTAATTATAGTCAACACAGATTTGTTCGCTTACTATCCTTAGTGTATGATGCATCAAATGATGATTAGGCTTTTCAGTATCGGACACAGAAGTAAATATAACTTAATAAAGATCTCGTACTCGACTTTGAGTCGTACTTTTGATGTGTGGAACAGAGAATTTCTAGTTGCTCAAACCACGAAAGAAGAAACAGCATCTGAACTAGATGGGTAAACATATGAAGTTAGACATAATTTCACCAACGATTTAGGAGAATTTTGTCTTACACACGTTGATGAAGACGCGGAAGTAGACTAATTAATATTAAATGGCCACAAAAAACCAGATTCAGATGAATAGTATACTTCAATGGACTCCAACCTCCAGTAGTTTAATTGTAAATTAACTAAACTCTGCAACTCATCTTTTGGTAAGTTTGCTTGCATTACCTAAAGTGTTATCATGGTGAAGAGGAAAAGAATACACACTAACATTACCAAAGGTTTTAGTAGTTATAACATTATATCCAGTAACAATAACGATCACTCACAAATACTTGAATGGGTGCAGTCAGAAAAACCTGAAAGTTATATTTATACAGTGTGCAACAGCGTAAAGCATGTAGTAGGATGTTTGAAGCTCGAAATAGTTACCAACTTTGTCTCTCTATATATCATAATGGATTAGATTAAACTTTTTGTAGAGATCAGTTTAATTTGTAGGTGACACTAATAGTGGACTGAGCTTATTTGGGGTGCTGTTGAAAATCGGACATCTATTTATCCTGTTGTATGACTTTAAAGTAGTGTGCACCTATGATCCCACCAGAGATCGAGCCGAAGAGCTCTAGACCTCGTAGTAACTTTAACTATTAGATCATTTGTTGTCAATCTAGTGGTATTAATTTCCAATCTCAATCAGTTCACGGTGTGGCGAAACGATTATCTAGTGGAGGTGGTGACAGCTGCTGAGAATTCTAATGCCGGAAAAAACAGCCGTTTTCAGTGGTATCAACAGGACTGAGGTTTGTCAGTGACAATAACCATATATATATATATATATATATATATATATATATATATATATATATATATATATATATATACTGATGTCCAGGGATAACTACCGCCTAACACGTTAAGTACCATACATCAAAACTCTATGATTATAAACATAAACTTACAGCATTTATGTGGATTGATAAAAGGGGGTTTTGAAATAGGTATCTGAAAGATTTTAAAAAATTTAGTGAATACAACTTTGACATCAAAAGACTTAGAAATAGATAGTAGTGATGAATATTCAAAGACTTACCAAACATTTATCAATATAAAATCGAATTGCATATAGCACAGTGGTATGTTATTCTATTATACGGTTCGAAAGCATGAACGATTGCAAATACAACATTACAGGTGTTTTCAAAGTAGTGAACATGTGTGGTAAAAACAAAAGATCATTAATGTTCAGGTTAGACAGGTAAGCCAAGTAATGAGATTGTGAACCTGTATTAAGAGAAGCATCGCTTGTAAACCATAAGCCAGTTCTAACACTGACTGTAATAATGACAGAAGTCTCAGTGGTAAGGACTAAGATATAATTATCACAGTTAAAGTGAAAGAAGTAACTACATATCATTGGGTGCTCCTGATGTATGAAACATGAATTTGAATAAATAAACATCTCCTGAATAGAGCTTATAAAACAGTTGAAATTGATGACTGGACAGCTTAGGTTACGTGGCTTGGGAATTATTTACAGAAGGGATCATGGACTTGTCATTCAGATTTCTCTAAACAGCAAATATAGTGTAAATCTACTTGTGCCTGATCTTACGTTTATTTGATTCGCTTTAGTTTATTTGCTGGGATGATTTGAAGCATATCGGAAAAAATTAATGGCATGTTGTACCAAGTACCTTGATTTCTCATTTACCTGTAATTAATGTAATTTTATTTGGTAATTTTACACCTATTTGTCCTCATATATTTTTTATGATGGTAGCTATACAAAATTAATCATAAAATTTTTTGATAGGTGTATGTGGGGGATTGTTATTATTCTGAACAAGCCCAATAAACTAGCAGTAGTCGTTTTGTTATTAAGATGTAATTATGGGTTTACAATCTCAAATATGCTCCCAAACCAGTCTTCTTTCACAAACCCCTATCTCTTATTGACTTAAGCACAAAGATTTTAAAAGTTGAGTTGTAGTTCTTAACTAGGCTTCATTTAAAGTAGATAATGTAATTGTGAATGGTATTCCTAACACTTATAACGAGTATGCTTCAAATCTTAGATAAGCTAATTTTTCCCAAGTTCTCGCTTAGGATTTGCTATAAATTGTATACAATTTTCTCAAGTTATCATACAAGAGGGTTTCATAATTTTCATAAACTTGAACGATAAGTGGTCGAAATCAATCACAGTATAACTAATACTTTATTGAGTTAAACGAATAAGCATAGACTACCGTTCTCAAGACCTCCTACTATTGACTTGATAGGGTAAAAAGGAAGGAAGCAAACCATGGTAAAGTGTTATGACAAACCTGGAAAATTTCCATTGCACCCAGCGAATGACCGGTAGGGTTGACACCACGAATCAAAAGTGGTTGACCTGAATAGATAGAATAGCAAGATAGATCTTTCGAAAATCCCAAGTCCAAATGTACGGCATCAGTTTCGGATCCTGAGCGTTCGACTCGGCGAAGTCCAACTAATGCAACATTTGATGCGTGTAGACGAGTTTTGGTTTCAGTTATAGGTTTATTGTTCTCAGTGATTTGAGAAGATTCATTAGATCCTTTTATAGGTACTGATAATTTTGCAGAAACTCTTCCAGGAATAAGAGATGGAGCTAGAACACGCGAAAAAACTGGTCTCAACACCGTTGTACGTTCCAGTGTAGAAGTTTCAGTTCTTGTTGGTTGAGAGCATTCATTTTTACTGATTAGTGACGATAACGAGTCGCTAGATTGATAGTTGGATTTTTAAAAATGATGCGATTTTGTAACATCATAAGTATGCATAGAGCCAAGGAATTTTTATTCAGTAAATATTAATTTACCATTGCTTGGTAACAGAATGTATCAATTAAAAGGTGTACAAAATCAGCATTCGCATAAAGGAATATAATTTTGGAGGTACGTTCATAATTACTACTAGGAAAATTCAGATAATGTCCTTTATGCACATTTGCTTTCACCAAAATCAAAAGATATATCTTTTAAATCTTAGCATATATGTTGGACTAGGAATTGAAACTAGACAGTAAAGTTCGTTAAAATACCAAAGTGTCAGGCGTAAAACTAGGATGGTTTGTTTTAGTAACAGTTAACTGAGAATTTCTTCTGAAGGAAATTACGGACACAACACTGCCAATACTACTGTTACTGTTGTAACATCGATATTTTGTGAGGTTTTATTAACAATTAACCAATTAAAAGATCACTCGATTTTCATTCTCGAAGTCCATTCGAAAGAACCGTCATTAGATTATGTTCATAACCTCTTTTAGGTGTCATTGGATTTGTCAACACATATAGGAATTCGTCTCCAAGTTAATTGACAGTTGGTTAAATAATAAAGTCCTTTTCTTACTCCAATGAAATATAAACACTCGCCAATATATTTCACGTTAAAGGACACATGTCGAAATAAACCTAAAAATAGTGATTAATACATTCACTAACTTATTGGGGCAATACTTGTCTTACTGAAGGTTTTCACCAAGTTTAACCCATACAACAGTGGGCAGAAATTATTAGTAGTTAGTGATCACACTTTTCGAAGACAGATCCCCGATAGTGCATCACAGATTAGGCAAGACAACTTTCGATAAGAACATATAGAGAATTCATTTGCTCTATCAAGTGTGTATGACTAACGGATCAATATTTACGGAGAAACAGATGAAGGATTAAAATTTCGTCCCATTTTTTTTTAAACATTACTATGATAGATGGGAAACTTGCCGATTTGTAGGTTGAGAAGATTGTTGAATATTCTGATCGCCTTCAACTAATGATCCTTCAGGTATGTTACTCAAAACACGTTTGATAGTTTCCCATGTCCAGTTGTCAATAACTGCATACGAAAAAACAACGCACGAAATATTAATACATGGAAACAATAAAAGTAGCCAATCTAAAAAATAATTAACACAAGAGTAGTTCTGGTCACCATAATAACTTTGTGGATAGCAATCCTTTAAAAGGTACAGTACTGACCAACATTATCATTGTTTTGTGTGCAGCATAGTAGATTATTTTACACGTGATCAGAGAAATATCTGTTAATGTTACAGAAGGTTTCGAAATGGATATCGACAATAAAAAACTTTGAAACCGCCACATTGTGACACAAGGTTGCGATTTCAGGTCACATTCTAACCATGGTGGCTACACTGACATCACAGTCAGCTACAACGTAGGACCAGACACACATGTGCATCGGTCCAAGTTGCCACTCCTGATTAGCACATTAAGACGAACACCGAATTTATAGAAGTAGTTGCTTCAATGGTAGTAATATATATAAGATTGTGTATAAGGATATAACACAGGAAGAAAGAAACGCGTAAAGCAATTCTGATCTTACGGTTTAAGGGAAGACAGAGAGTGTATACACCTGCGCCATTGTGATCGATTCTGAGCCAAGTCACCCACAGTCTCCAACCATTGGTTATGATAGTCTCATGGAACTCAACCAAGTAGTCTGCATCTACCAACATGGCTCACACTAGAAGTTAGGGACTTCAAGCTCAGATGCCACGTCTCGGTTTGGCCGCCCCCAAATGCCCTGGTACGGCCGAGAGTGGGGAGTCACCTCTCCCTCTCGAAATACTCTCATATGGCCAGCGAATATATAGCCTCTGCCAGGGAAGTCCTACTCACTGCCTTCTCGTGGCACTACTGTTGTTTACGAAGGTGACAGGACGAAAAGCGAATGTCTGGCGCTTTAACCGGGTTGGTGGACACGGAGGGTCCACCTAGGGGAGTTGGAAAACCCTGATTCCAAACCAATAGTGCACATGGGCTCCAGTATCCTGATGGAACGAATGACGGACGAACCTGTCATTGGTCAAAGGCTACCATGGGACTGCATCTCCTCACGATGCTCCACTGCCTTGTGGATCAGACATTCAGGTCAAAGGCTCCGGGTGTGGCCCCCTAAGAAAACCACCTGCTTCAGTCTGGGCACCTGGGCAGTATCACAGCCCTCACACAAATCGAATGAGATTTGTGAGGCGCATATTTATCTGGTGCTTCATTGTACCAATATTTATGTGTTTAAATAAATAAATAATAAATAAACTCTCTTTCGACCATCATCAATACTGGTCAGCATTGCATGTCGTGGTAATCGGTGGTTGGGCATGCGTAACACGTAGCCCAATCATCTTAGTAGATGAAGAATCACAACCTCATCAACTGATTTACCATCTGTTGGGATGACCCTGCAATTTTCTCGCAAGCGACATGACAAGCTCATGGGTCATCACGAAGCATTTCAACCAATCAGCGATTAATTCGAAGTTATGTTACTAAAATAACGAAAATGGAAAAGTCACATGTGGAAATCCTGATTGGCTGATTAATGCACTGCTACTATGTTTAGCAGTATTCTAGAATTTTCGGTAAAACTCAAGGACTCTTAAATTACTATAAAATCCCTATATTTTCTGTACATAAAGGAACCCTGTAGTAAAGTGCTTCCCTCACGCTTTGTGCCTTTTCTCTCGTCTTCAAGTCGCGGAGTAGTTCTAGCTCGGGGGTACGGAACTAGCTTATGGAAGCGAATATATCGTTCACAATCAGCCAGACGTAACAGTGGCGACGGGGATTTTGGTACGCAAAAGAAAAAAAAATACAGCAATTGTCGTCGGGGATTCTGGCAAAAAGAAATACAGCAATCGAGACGTGATTTTGGAATTAAACAAGCTAAAATAATTGCCGGCGAATTTTTGGAGTTATTATTATTATCAGTAGAAAAAAATGACGATTTCTCTAGAACAGGCGCTGATAATATTAGAGCACCGGCAACAGCAGATGCTAGCCTTCCAGCAGCAACTATTTGAAACAGTTTTGGACAAATTTTTCACTAAACAAAATATTTCAGGAAATAAAGGATTTATTTGTAATGCAGATAATGGTGCTAAAATGGCCGTCTCAGAAGAACGCCCAGTTGAGGGTTCAACTCCCTTCATATCTGATGGAAAATGCAAAACGGTATCAGATGACAATGAAAAAGAAGGTTCCGTAGACAAAGCCTTGAGTCCAGAGTCAAATGAAGCACCATTGAATTTGCCGATCTCTGAAGACAAACTTCAGTCAGAACTAAACTACGGGTTACATGATATCGGTGAAGAAAGCTGGAATGACACACATCCAGAAAAGACTGGAACAGTACAGCAAACCAAATTGTGCCAAATGTAATTCAAAATCATCGTGAGATAAAAGCTTATAATGAATCAGCTTCATATCCAATTTCTTATGTCAGTTTACCAGATATGGGTTCGCGTAATGATGCATATAATTTTGATGAAAATTCTTATGAAGATGAGAAAAATAAGTCGATCGAATCAAATGGTGATCAAAAAGCTAATGCAATTTTATTAGATGCTGATTCCCCCTAGTTATCTGATAACCTCTAGTGAAAATCTTAATGAATTTGATGGAAATGTTTCAGAAGAGCCAAGTTCTGATGACCTAAAGTCAAGTGTCGTTCATTATCATTTAGTCATCCCCACTGGATTCTCTATTCAATGCGAGAAATATGTTCTAAATAAAGTCATGTTAATTGTAATTTGGAGATATGAGGATCCGACATTGTTTTGTGGGGGAGGATGAAGTCGGCAAATGCAGTCTGGATACCTACCCGCGCTGCAGTCCTGGCAGCGACATTCCATTTGTTACCCGACCGTAGGAAAGACACTGCAAGAAAACCTCTAAGGGTTTTACTTAACGATAGGCAAGCTAAGAATATATTTCAGGAACAACTAGAAAAAGTTAGGTGGCCATGTAAGTTGTGCCCACCCCAATGCAGCGTGGAATGACACCCGTGAAGCTGTGGAAACAGCAGTGATATCCGCTAGTAAGGTAAACCATAAGGTTAGGGAGAAACAATGGATCTCGGCAACATCTACCGCACTGATAGATGCTCGTAAACTCATCCCACCTGGCTCTGAACATAACGAAGAGCGGAGTCAGCTTAAGCGCGGGCTAATAAGAAGCCTACGCAATGACCGTGAACAGTGGTGAGTAACGAAAGCAAGAGAGATGGAAAAGGCAGCGGCAATAGGTAACAGTAGACAGATATTCAGACTTATTAAAGAAACCGGTATTAGGAACACAAATATCAGTGAAACCATCTCAGATAAAGATGGGCATATCATTCATTCTGAATCCAGGAGATTGGATCGATGGGCAGAACACTTTAGGGATCAGTTCAACTGGCCTTCAGCCACACTTCAGTTACCCACGATCCCCAGTCGTCCTGAATGGCAAATTAATGTAAGTCCTCCAACTCTCTACGAGGTTGAAAAAGTTATAGGAAATCTGAAGCGAGGGAGAGCAGCAGGCCCTGACAGGTTGACCCCTGAGATTTTTAAGGATGGTGGTTCAGTACTAGCAGCGAGATTGACTGAGGTTTTAGGTAGAATCTGGGAACTGGACGTAATTCCATCTGACTGGTCTCAATCACTGATTGTGCCAGTCTATAAGAAAAGACAAAAGTCCTCTTGTGACAATCACAGAGGGATCAGTTTGACTAATATAGTGTCTAAAATATTAGCTTCAATAATACTTGGACGCCTAACCAAAACTCAGGAAGAGCAGACTAAAGAAAACCAGGCTGGTTTTCGACCAGGATGTGGTTGTATAGACCAGATATTCACTCTACGTCAGGTCCTAGAGCATAGACACAAATTCAGACGTCCCACAATCGTAGTATTTCTTGACGTTAAGGCGGCATTTGACTCCGTTGATCGTGAGGTTCTATGGCAATGTTTGTCACTGAAAGGAGTACCAAAGAAGTACATTAACCTCATAAAGGCTCTCTACTCGAACACAACTGGTCGAGTTAGAGCCTATGGCGAACTGTCATCAGAATTGGTTACCTCAAGTGGTGTTCGTCAGGGCTGTCCACTTTCTCCATTCTTGTTTAACTTTGTCGTTGACGTGCTATTAGAAATAACACTTTCATCATCTCAATCTCCTGGAGTTGAACTTTTACCGGGAGATTCACTCGTTGACTCAGAATACGCCGACGACATAGTTTATTTGGTGAAGACGCTAACAAAATGCAGGGTCTTCTGACCACCATAAGCAACAATGCAGGCATATTCGGGATGCGATTCTCTCCCTCGAAGTGCAAAATGTTACTTCAGGATTGGGTTGCATCGACACCTGAACTAATGATAGGGAGTGAAGTGGTTGAGCGTGTTGACCGCTTCACTTATCTTGGAAGTCTCATCAGCCCTTGTGGTCTGGTGTGACGAGATCTCAGCACGGATACAGAAGGCTTGTCTAGCTTTCGCCAACTTGCGTCATTTATGGAGTAGGCGAGATATCCGTCTAGCAACAAAAGGACGGGTTTACTGTGCAGCAGTTCGTTCCGTCCTACTTTATGGAAGTGAAACATGGCCGATTAGAGTAGAGAATATTCGTAGGCTACTGGTATTCCATCATAGGTGTCTTCGAAGCATTGCTCGTATATCCTGGGACCACCGGGTAAGTAATGCAGTTGTTAGGAAACGGGTACTAGGTAAGGATGGTAAATCGATTGATGAAGTAGTGAAACTTCATCAGTTGAGATGGCTGGGACATGTGTTACGTATGCCCAACCACCGACTGCCTCGACGTGCAATGCTTTATAGTGTAGGAGCAGGTTGGAAGAAAGCTAGGAGAGGCCAGACCAAAACATGGCATAAATCCATGAAGTCGATGACAAGTGGACTGAGCCATGTTGGTAGGTGTAGACTACCTGGTTGGGATTCGCGAGATGATAGCAACCGATGGTTAGAGACCTTGAATGACATGGCTCAAAATCGTTTGCAATGGCGAAGGTGTATTCACTCTTTGTGTTCTCTCAAATTCTAATCTTCTGAATTATCCATGTCCATATCATTTTTCTCTTTCCAAATTTATTTCACTGTATTATACTCCTTGAATAACATCTTCAAACCCTAATCTTTCACATAATGCTTATACTCTTACTACTTCTACCACTATGGGATTTGAATCGACAACTGAATCTCTGTGCTAATGTGGTATGGCAGCTCGAACTGATGTACGTACGTACGAAGTTCTACGTTGTGACTGACTGACTGAGCTGCAGTCATTGGGAGAGTAGGCAGGGACGACGAAGAAGCGACGACGAGTTTCCCTATAATTTCGAGTCCTTACTGATCCGTTTAGTCGGACAGCGCATAGACGACTGTCTACTGGGATCCAGTCTAAAAGAGCTAGTTCTGCCCTACGACTTAATACCATACCTACTCCAGCGAGGCCACGGGATGCAGTATCAGGGCTTCCAGATACACGAAGCGTGTATCGAGATGGTTCTTTATTTTGATTAGGTGAGGTCAAATGAATGACGCTTTTCGGAGACGCAGCACACATCGATGGTGCGAGGTTCTAAAGTCCTAGCTAAAAAGGCCTGTTGTCCTATTTGGCATAATGTTCGGACATTAAAAGTTCCTACATGTAGTTTACAGCGTGATTTCAGGAGACCAGGAATAACGTTGCGTGTACTCAAATCGTTTATCCTAGCGGTGCGAGGTGATAAAAGGACGTGGGAAGGGTTAGTCGTGGAGATAACAGAGTTATTAGGTGTAGGAAGGATTTGAATGTGACCAACTTGGTCTCGTATGCGGTTACAGGTATGAGGGCTAATATCACTTCCCGGCTGCCCACACCGTGGAAGGGTATTTCTTGAGGGACCTGAAAAAGAAGTTGGATTAGTGTTGGTCTTAACGACCTGGGAGCGTGACCGCAGTGCCCAAGGGACAACTGCTTGAGGCCGGTCACGCACGGCCTTTTTGTGGGGGATTTTTGACGTGTTAGCTCCGTTCTTCAAAGGACCTTACCGCCGGAGACGGAAATCCGTGGGATAACGAGAAGTGTGCATTTTTAGGGTCGACTTTTTCTAACCCCACCGCTCCTTGTGGGAAGGCAGCATCACTGCTATGCTGTCTGTCTGAAGGAAACACCTTACTGTCGTCACACCTCTGTACAGTCGGCAGCACGACTTCGGACCTTGAGATTGCTGCTTTTAGTCTTACCGCTCTTCAACCGATATGGCTGGCATGGTAGGACCCTGAAGAACGATTGTTCCAGCCAGTATAGCTCGATTGGTTCACCACGATAGGCTGCTGCTACACTGATTGTCTTCTGCATTTGTTGTTGCATGTGCGATAGGAGAGCCAGATCATCTGAGAAGTGTAGGTCATCCAGCTGCATCCTAGCTTTTCATTGTATCCCGTGATTCCCTCCAAATGTTGATGTCCTCATGATCCAGTCGATCACCAGGAGAAAGAGAAAAGGTGAGAGTAAGATTACCCTGGTTAGCGTTTTTTTAGCGAGTTAGTTTTTTACGGGATGGGGTCGCTAACCGCATATCCAATCCTCCTTGTTTACCCGGTTTTGGGACCGGAATTAGCCTCCAGAGGGGCTACAGACGGGGTTCAAGAGCAACTATCAACTTCAAGTTATTCAGTCGGAAACTATTATGAGATAGCATAAGAAATGGTCAGCGAATTGAGGAAGTTGCTGTGATATGCATTAGCAGATATTCTGGGAAATGTAATTAAGAGCATATAGAAAACATTCGTGTGAAAATTACCCAGGACTACTAAACTACACGTTAAACCACAGGTCTACCAATTACGGTCTTAGAGGTTAGGTAGTAGTTGTATCATGAACTGAAAGCATGGCTCAGAGAAATACATAAACATGTACTTGGTAAGTAGTTAGTTAAGTCCAAATATTCGTCATTTTATTAACAGCATCTTTAATCTACATTTCTGGAATGTCGAATCAAGTTAGTAAAATAATAGTAATAATGAATGGTCATGCATTAAACTTGAGAAGGTGACACGAAAAGACTTAGTAATGACAAATTACATTAGAACACCACTGTATGAATCAAACCTACTCTCTGCATTTTCTAGGGTGTGTTGGTTCATGTATCGGTTTCCATGGGTTCCGGTAGTCAGCAGAGTTGGAGTCCAGTCAATGAAATCAGTTATACCATTACAGATAAGCGACGCAACAACTTCTGAAGGATAAGACGCTATTAGCTGCGTTTCATGGGACTCAAGTTCAGGTTCATTTTCTATGAGTAAAACAAGGCTACATTTTTGTAATCTTTGTAAATACCTTTGTTTGATGGAATTAATCGTGCAGTTGAAACAGGAATTAATTCCTTTGATACACCGTAGGAACTCAACAGATCTCTTTGATCACTACAGGCTTCCGCAACCATCCTAGAAAATGAGGATTAAACAAATGAACATACAACTCTTGCAACATATTTTTTGTCAACAAGCTTTTTGCAGATTTTGTAACATGTGATTTGGGTGTCCGACTTTTAGAGGTATCGAGTTTAGCCGACGTCTGTAGTGTGAGATGTTAAAGTTAGATTTACCTCTCTATCAAAAAGTTCAACATTTTTTTGTGAAATACGATCAGGTAAATCGGTATTCCTTTGAAACGCAACATATTTTTCCACGAGGGTACTAGCATTTAAGCCCCACCTTTCGCCCAAAAAACTCACTAGATCAAACGTTCATTTTTAATACGCAATTTACATTTCTCAAGAACGACCTTATCATCAGCGACAAGCCCGAAAACTTGCAACTCTTCCACAATCTCACCAACCTCCATAGCGTTAGATAGTGCGCTCCTAACCTCTTGGTTAATATCTGATATAGAAAAACAAATGTAGCCGCAAATAGATTTTGAGATACTTGATCCCATATAAACTTGTAAGAATGGACGAAATCCAACACAGAGCTCTGAAACAATGTCCATATTTACTTTTTTTGATTCTTGCTACTCTCTTTGAGCGTTCCATAGACAAGAAATCTGTTACCTTGTACTTGATAGGTCCCGTAATGGAAACCAGCTAATGGCCTGGAATACCTGGACCATCTCACTTTGACGTGACCATCCGGTGCCTATTGGCTACTCGGACTCCTTCAAAACAGTCGATAGAGCTGATCATCTCATTGTATTCGAAACCGATTTCTAGGCGTATATTTAAGTTTCGATAATGTAATAAGAAGACGAAGATTATCAGAACTCATAGTTCTGATAATCTTCATCTTCTTATTACATTATCGAACTTTATCAAAGGGAATAATTGTTTTAAGTATAATTAAGTGTTTGGAGATATTGCTCTCACCAACCAAACCAGGAATTATAAACCATCATGGTTTTCTCTACTGTCCGTTTGGTCTCCCTGAATACCATTAGGTGAGCAATGATAATGGGGAAGGGCAGTGATGCTCCATCCATCTCATAGTTCTTTGGAAGACTAGTGTCATACTCTCGACCACTGAAAAAACTTGACCATCACATTATGTGGTTCTCCGGATATCCCTACCACTTGAGGTTCTGCAAAAAACAAACATGTCTCATCTCCCTGTCTTTTTCGCCAATATTTAGCAGGCTGAATTCGAGACTATTGTAAAATGTTTTCAGTCCCTGGTTAAGGATTCATATGGAACAAACACCTTTACTATTCCGCATTCAAGAAGGATATCGCTCTTTGAATCTGACTAAAAAAATCCTAAAAGTGCCAAGTCTAAAAATAAATTCTATTTTAATTTTCTGGGATTTCTAAATTTGCAACGTATGCAATGTATAGGGGTTGGGGTACATGCTTCTGATTTATCCTCTTCGCCCTAACAGATCACTTATTCGTTTTAATGACAAATAACATCGAAAAAACATTTACTTAGGACAAGGCACGGACAAGATTGCAGGAAAGGATTAGGGGTTACTCTAGTTCTATGGAGTAATTACTTTAAATGTCATTCCACAGTCACTTCCACTAATAACTGACTAGTACCATATTTACATTTAGTCACTTAACCAGTTACTTGGTAATGATCGTAAACGGAATATGGACAACCGATCCAGTTAAACCTACAGAGTGCGAATTTTCAGTAATACGTCTATTGGTAATTTATTGTAGTACTACTTCGAATCAACCACATTAGGTGAAACAGGTAGAGCCTCCTAGGGATATGAATTACATAGAAGCATGACACAGACGCCGTGGTTAAATAGTTGTTTGCGTGTCAGACCTTAATTTTTTACTTTAGTCCCTGTCTAGTGATTGCTGATCAACAGTGTACCGTATAGTAGTAATTAATCATATATTCTCGTGTTGGTAGGATATTTTTCGGACTATTTTAAGGAGTCACTGACGTTGATTGTTTGTTTTGTCTTTTATGTGATTTTGTGTCTTTTGTTGGCTGTTACTTGTACGGTTTGTAGCGTGTGATGGAATTGATTTGTTTATGTTGTGGGTGGCAAGATTGAATACTTCGCTTTAGCCAACCAGCAGCTTTGTACGTTTGGTTGAAACCCTACAGAGGACATTTGTGTCGATCAGATGGGTAGAGATTGAAGCATTTCACTATCAACCGTTTCTAGAGTAACTCGTCATTACTATTATGGTGGCTAGCCTTCGGCTGCAGTTTTCATTAATAGGCTTATAGAGGAGTTGTAACGCTTCTATCACTCTTGAGCAGTATTCTTCAGTTGATCTGATTTTTCTTTTGGCTTCATTGTATATCAAGTTACTTTGCAGTTCCTCCTACTTTCCTATGTCTAGGTTCAGTTTTCTTAACCAGTTTTTAGTATGTGGTTTACAATTACCGATTGAGTCTTTTGTGTGACTGCTTAAGGGCAGCACCGTTAGGTTATCACTCTTTCGTGTACGATGTACCGCACGTTGAGCCTGTTTCGTATCACCTTTACTGTCATGATCGGAAGAAGGATTTGGGTGTGTAGTTGTTCTTTGGTTAGTGTTCGGCGATTTTAAATGCCAAGTATCATACGTCATACGTTGTCTAAGACTGTTTTCAGTCCTTCCCTCTTGGCTCTATTGACTCAAGGCTATATATTAGGTTATGGGATCGCCAAGAACACCACTTATTTAATTTTAGTGCCACGTTTAACTGTTGTACGTCTTAGTATTGGGCGAATTCTGGTTAGAGCCACGTTAGATCTAGCAGTGTTGGTTGTTGTTGCATCATTAGGTTACCGTTGTTGTTGACTGTTGGACCAGAATTGTTGAAAGTGTTGAGTTCTTGTAATTGATCTTTTTGTGGTGACATTTAGATAGTTGTTTAGCATTTTTTAAATTAAAACTTTGGTTTTCGCTGTGGATGTTTCCATACCTTTGGGTTTTAGACGTCTTTGTTATGTGCATGAGGGTCCCGTAGTCTCTTCTCTACGGGTGGTTACCAAGCACAGATGATCAGCATATTCTATGTGTGAGATCTTCCAGGTTACAGTTTGTCCATCCTTTGGGAATTTTCCCTCGTAATGTGGTCTATCGTTTTATTTAAGACTAGCCGAAAGACTAAATTGGAGAGAGTAAGTCCCTCCTTACCGCCTTACCTGACTATGCTCTGCAGGGTGAAGTGATGTTTGGTGTCTTTTAGGTAGTCTCTGGGAAATTCGCCCATGGATGGACAGGCTGCAATTAGGGTATCGATGATCAGTTGTTTCGAGAGGATGTCAAAAGACTTTGTTAGGTCTCAGACAGTGGTTACTAACGCTTGGTGTCTATGGTACACTATATAACGTACCGGATTGTGACCATAGCATAGGTAGTAGGTGGGTATTTTCTAAATCGAAACAGTGTTAGGGAAAGTTATTTATCAGTAAGTTGGGTTGAACTGTTTGAAATAGCGCGTGAAACATATTTTCATTGTACTTAGTAACAAGATAGTTATCGGGATCTAATCTTTGGCCTGCACTTTTGTAGATGCGTACCACATATACATCCAGGCAGTAATCTTGCATAATGTCAGTGTTTAACCAGACTTTATTCATCACGGTTAACAGAATGTAATTCAGTTTATTAATCTTGTGTTTGATCATTCCTGTTATCATACTGTTGTAATATTGGTCATAACCACACAATTCTCAAAGCTGAACATGAGATAAACGGAGAAATAAACATTCAGCGTTTATCATGGAGAGAAAGTCAATAACGGAGAACGCAGAAACAGTCGGTTAAACTAAATTCATTCTTGTGTAACTTTTCTATTCATAATAAGTATATTGTTCTATCTCTAGCCTAAATGTGTTGTTTTGGAAAGGCCTAACGTCGTATTGTTGATTGTTACGATAAGACGAGACAGAATAGACAGCAATGTGACTTTCAGGCAAGATCTTGTAGATTAGATAGGAACACAATTATAGACCTGCAATTTTAGGATTAGGTTCATTATTATAGCGATACTTATGATGGACTAGACGATAATTCTGCAATACCAACGTGGCAGAGGTTTTGAGATTTTACAAACTAGGTTCGAATTCTTGGGTTGTTAACCAAAGACTTGGAATTGCATTGATAGTTAGTTTGAATGGTGTTGACTCAGGTTGCTAGGTCTATCGAAGCGTTCAAATCACTCAATTGAGGAACATGAAGAATTAAAGTTAATAAAACAAAGATTATCTAAAATAGCCGTTTTTTATTGAATAATATAAAAAATTAGTCACAAACCTCAACTTGTGAGGTGTTTAAGGCGTTTAACGCGTCTTTTGAATGAAATAAAATGGGCTTCCTGTAATGAAAACGTAAGGAGTAATTATAACATGCAGCAGTGTAAAAACCGGTACATTTAAGCAAAGGTTGAACAAATGCACAAAACTGTGGACAACTGATGCAATGACTTAAAGTAATTAGAGCGATAAATGCAATAAATGTTGTAAGTATGTGTAAATATTTCAGAATATTACATAAGCGTAAAAATTGCTGGTAGTGTAACTTTTTACTGGATAAAAAAATGAGTACTATAAAACAATACGCGAAAGAGTGGAGAAGAAAAGAATAAGGACAAAGTGTAAAACATACTTAACACAGGTGTTTCAGCATTAAAGAGGATTTGGTAGGGATTTCGGAGATCAAGTTACTATTATTATTATTCACAAACATCTTATGGGTACATAAGTGCTGTGAAGAAACCGTTTCGGGTTTCTTCAAAAATGCAATAATACACAATTTTCAATAATGTTAGCATTACATATGCCATGTTTGAGAAAGGAGGGAAGAGGAAAATAAAATATTAATAATAGAGTAGTAATAATAAACCAGGTTCTGCGTTATTGGCAAGAATTTTGAATTGATTTTAGAGGAGGAAAGGAAGAAACTAAAGAAATAGAAATAAAGGAGACACGGAATACGTAAATATCTCAACGCAGAACAAGAATAAACAACTATGTATGTATAGCAAAACGAGTAATAAAAATAAAATAAAACAGGATAAATTAATAAGTAAATAACTTATTATTGCAGTAAGATATAACGTTAGAATAAGTGTTTGTTCGTGCAGACATAGTTTGAGGTGATGCTATGAAAGTCTCAATTAAGTGCAAAAGATAATCAACATGTGTGAGGTGTATATGCATAGTGAAGATAAAACGAGTCTGATAAGTTGAATTCAGCGTAACACAAGTTATTGTCTTAATCCAAAGCTTCGTAATCTTAAGAATAATGTTTATTTGGAAGGAGCAAAAAAAGAGAGGGAGAGAGCGAAAAGAAATGAAAACATAATGATCATAATAGTTTAATGGTCATAGACTTTTGAGATAAACAAATAATTAAAAAAATAATAATGATAAATAAATAAGGAAAATCAGAAAAATAAATAAATAAATGATAACAATAATAGTAACAATA